AAAGCCCTAATGGTGTCCAAATCTCAATGGGCTGCAGATTTGCTTGATGAAGTCGTCTAGCTATGCTGTTTCTTTTTATAGTTTGTTTGTAGCCAGAGTAACTTTCTGGTGGAACCCTTTATGGTTGTATTGCTAGCATGGCTACATTGTCACTCCTTATCTCCTTCCTATCAATGATAAATCTCAGGCAGATCTATCACTATGGGAGTATGGGTTGTAAAAGATATCAGAGGCGCAGATGGTGGAAGCACCAAGCCCAATCTTGGGTCCTTGGTGAATGCGTGTTTCTCATTAGATGGAAAAGTCCCATCCGTGGCACTTCACATAAATAGCCAGCTAACAACCTTTTCGAGATCACGCAGTATTCTTTACATGGACAATGATCAATTGTACTCCTATAATGCGTGATCTCTTCTAACACATGATCTAGTCTACCGCATGATCTGGTCATAACACACATGCACACACACATGATCTAGTCTACCGCATGATCTGGTCATAACACACATGCACACGCATGATCTAGTCTACTATGGTGGTTGCCGAATGTTAAGGTTATCCTAACACTCCCCCTCAATCACAACTTTACCAGGTTGAGATTGTATTTAAAGTTCTCCAGGAGTCGACTTGACAGTGGCTTTGTAAAGCCATCTGCTACTTGATCACCTGAAGAGATAAATTCAATATCCAATAATTTTCGTGATACTCTTTCTCTGACGAAGTGATAATCAACTTCTATATGTTTAGTTCTAGCATGAAACACTGGATTAGCTGACAAATACTTCGCTCCAATATTATCACACCATAACTTAGCTGCCCTCGGGCTGTTGATATGCAATTCTTGAAGAAGAGTTTGAATCCACATCACCTCAGCAGTTGCATCAGCTACAGCTTTGTACTCAGACTCAGTGCTGGATCTTGACACTGTGTGTTGCTTGCGAGCACTCCAGGATACAAGATTAGAACCCAGAAAAACTTCAAAGCCTCCTGTAGACCTCCTGTCATCTGTGCTACCTGCCCAGTCTGCATCTGAAAAAGCAATCACCAGCGTGGAAGAAGACTTGTGAATCTTGAGACCCAGCTTGGTACATTGTTTTAGGTATCTCAAAATTCTTTTCACAGCTGCCCAATGCAGTAGTTGGAGCATGAAGAAACTGACACACCTTATTTACTGAATAGGCTATGTCAGGTCTAGTGAGTGATAGATATTGTAATGCTCCAACAATACTTCTATAATGAGTAGCATCATTCAGGCCTAACAAGGACCCTTCATGCAGCGACAATTTTTCACTTGTGCTTAGTGGAGCAGCTACAGGTTTGTAATCAGACATGCCTACTTTCTTAAGGAGATCAGAGCCATACTTATCTTGCATTAGGACAATACCATCATGTACCTTAGACACCTCAATGCCTAAGAAATAGTGAAGCTGTCCAAGATCTTTCAGTGCAAACTCTTTTTGAAGATCCTGAAGCAGGGCATCAGTAGCCTTTCCTATGGAGCTAGCTACTATGATGTCATCAACATACACAAGAACAAACATGGTTACATCTCCTTTGTTGTAAAAGAACAGTGAAGTATCTGCTTTTGATGCATGAAAACCAAGTGAAAGGAGTTTTCTACTTAGCCGAGAGTACCAAGCTCTAGGTGCCTGCTTTAGTCCATATAATGCTTTATCGAGTTTGCAAACATAGCCCAGTTTGGAGGTGTCTTCAAAACCTGGTGGTTGTTACATGTAAACTTCTTCAAGATGACCATGAAGAAATGCATTTTGTACATCAAGTTGGCGAAGGCGATGCGAATGTTCACGATGTGTGCACACATCTGAGACGCATACATCTGCTCGATGGCCTTCCAGACCGCTGCCGCAGTCTCACATGTGGAGACTTGGATCTTCACCTCCTTGGTGAGCGATGACAGAAGAAACCTATTGGTCCTTGGCTTCCCATTCCTCAAAGGCCGGGTTCGGCCTCTTCTCTTGTTTTCCATCAACGGTGGCGACGAGCTCCTCTTCGGGTGCCTTGGTGTCGCCGGTAATGTGCGCTTGGAGACGAGCGCCGCGTATGGCTGAACAAACTTCGGCTTTCCATAGCGCATGATTCAGCTTTCCCAATTTCTCCGAGACAGCTTGGCCAGAGAGAAAATTGGTTGATGAGTTGGAGCTAGACATGGTGCTGGATTTGGTGGATTGGATTTTGATTTGACCATGATTACCATGTAAAGATATCAGAGGCATAGATGGTGGAAGCACCAGGCCCGATCTTTGGTCCTTGGTGAATGCGTGTTTCTCATTAGATGGAAAAGCCCCATCTGTGGCACTTTACATAAATAGCCAGCTAACAACCTTTTGGAGATCACGCAGTATTCTTTACATGGACAATAATCAATCGTACTCCTATTCATGCGTGATCTCTTCTAACACATGATCTAGTCTACCGCATGATCTGGTCATAACACACATGCACACACACATGATCTAGTCTACCGCATGATCTGGTCATAACACACATGCACACGCATGATCCAGTCTACCATGGTTGTTGCCGAATGTTAAAGTTATCCTTTAACATGGGTATCACTATGGGGAAGGGATATGGAGATCTATCACTATGGGGGAAGGGATAGGGAGTTCCTGGATTCTTGTCTCCGTCTCTGTTATAGTTTTCTGTTAAACTTGGTACCTGTTGTATTTATGTTACATGTTAATGGAAATGGGGATGGCCTCGACTCGAAAAAATCACAATAGGCAATTTGAAAAGGGGGAGATGTTACCCAAATCATCCTTAGGATTTGGTTCAGTTTGGATTCTACCATAAAAGTTCCTGAGGTGTACCACTTGGTGGATTGGTGGCTCATAAGCAGAATGTGCATCCCGGGTGGTCTGCGCAAGGGCTTTGACTCCATGGTGCTCCTGATTACCTGGATGATTTGGAAGGAACGCAACCATCGTGTCTTCGACAACAGTTGCACGCTCCCACCAGGTTTGGTCACTGTGGTGGTAGAGAAACAGCTGGATTGAGGCAGGTTTTGTCGACCTGGCGAGCTGATAGCGCTGGTGGTTGGATAGGCGCTTAGTGTCATTTTAAAATGTTCCTATGTAATAGAACTTCTTGTGCCTTTGCTGGGTTAGCTGCAGCCTATACATGTCTCTCGCATGCTTGGCTGACTCACTAACTCCTTGTAATCTGCTCACCCCTCTTAACGAAATGCATGCTAAGCATGTTCAAGGGAAAAAGGTGATTACCACTTCCAAATTTACCTAAGTTGGTGGCCCTGCTATCCTAAAAGTTTGCTATCTGTGGACTGTTCTAGCCTTCGACATCCTGCAATCAATTGATTTTTGTTTTACCGCTTCTCAAGTTAATGTAGTACTATGTTTGGTGCTTGACTCTCATTATTTAATCAGTTATTCTACCATTTCTTTTTGGTTTTGATCCATTTTCCCATTCTCTGTGTCTGATTTGTATTTTGGGTAACCTGCAGCAAAACTTCCTGCCCTTTCTGCGTCCGTGTGAAGCAGTTGTTCGAGAAGCTGGGAGCTAGCTACAAGGCCATTGAGTTGGATGTGGAAAGTGAGTGCACTTAAATTTGTTTATTCTTTTCAGTTGTGCAATTCATAGTTTTGACTGTACACATCATAGGTATTACCATTATAGCTGAAAACTTGGGATGTTTCTGTTGTACTGTTTTGCTGAAATATGGTTATATTTGCTTATAGGTGACGTATTTAGTACAGCAGTACCGTTATGGACTGTGGCACGATTGAATTTCTATGCAAGTTCATGATTTGGTTGCTCCTTATGACATGAGATTAAATCACTTGGTTAGGTGCTGGAGAAACACTTATTGTGGCACAAGTAACAAGAACAAATCATTGGTTTCTTTCTTGCTTCTTCTTTTGCAAATATTTTTGTACAGCTTTGCTCTTTATATAAATTAATTTCCACTCCTGTTTTGTCCATAGAAAAAAAAAACTAAGAAAAAATGACCTGACAAATAAAGTGCCAAATGCTAAGGGGTATGTTGCTAACCTGCAGTGTCTCATATGTTTCATATTGTTTCACTTACTGGATCATATCATATTCTTTTAAGCTGAAATATTGTGGTTCCAATCACAAATTACTACGCCTGCTGAGTGCTGAGTGTACACTCATGGCAAACATTTAGCGGGTGTCTCTGTGCTTCATATCTTAGGACTTCGCATAGTGATTAGCATCATGGGATTTCAGGGAAACTCTTATTGAACCAAACTATTCTGTTTAGGTGATGGGCCTGAGCTCCAGAATGCCCTCAAGGAGTGGACTGGACAGAGGACTGTCCCAAATGTCTTCATCAATGGGAAGCATATTGGTGGCTGCGATGGTGAGCCTCCTTCTACAATTGTACACCAATGCATATAATCTACGCTTTTGTGAATCCTTGTCTACGATTACCAAATTACTGACAATGCATAAATTGATATGTGCAAGACTTTGCAACATGTACACTTGCTAGGTCATCTCTCTGAAGTTACCTTGACATGTTAATCTGTTCTATGGCAGATACTATGGCACTGAACAATGATGGGAAGCTGGTGCCTCTGCTGACTGAGGCTGGAGCCATCGCCGGTTCTACCTCAAAGACAACCATCACTGCTTGACATGTGTGTTGCCGTTCCCGTGCTTAAAATAAAGATGCTTTGCAAGTGCTGAACTTGCAGCTGTCATGCTATCTGGGAGTGTGACAGTTCGATCCCTGTATACTGCCTAGACATCAGTCGAGTCGTATTCCCGTGCTAAGTTGTGAACTGTATTGTCGTTGCTCTGTTTGTCTTTCTTCTAGAAATACTCCGTCCGTGCATTTCTGTCTCATGCTCGTAGCACCCACATGACACGACGCTCGCTGGTGCGCGCCAGCCCGAATGGAGTGTGTCCTACCGCCGGGCCATTCTGAGGTACACCTTGCACACCACCAGCTCCTCGTCGTTGCTGTTCTCGTCATACGGGAAGTCCGGCCCGAAGCCCTATTCTTCCATCCACCACTCCGTCCGCGCCAATCTCCGCGACGCCTCGTCGTCCTCCCGATACTGGAACACGCGCCGGTATCCCACGTCCCGGCCTTCTCTGTCCCTGACGCCCCAGTAGCGCGCCGCCGGCACGTACTGCCCCGGCCCTCCTCTTCGCGGGCGCGCAATAATGCCATCGTCGCAGCCGCCGTGCTCCGTTGTTCGCGGGCGCCGCACGGCGAAGAACCACTCGAACCTGTCGTTCGCCGCCGGGAGCACGCCCGTGAGCACCGCGCAGACGTAGGTGGCGTGGTGCATGCGGCACCGCAGCGGGTCCCCGACGCTGCGGCTGGCGAGGTACAGTTGCACGAGCACCTGAGGCTTCACGTCCGCGCCCGCGCGTTTCGCCGCGGGCGTCGTCGTGCTGTGCTGCTGCTGGACGGGTCTCTTGTGGAGGGCCCCGCCGCGAGCCGGGTACACCTTGCATACGACCATGTCGAACGCCCCGCCGGCGCCGGAGTCGTCGCCGCCGCGGTCGCCGTACTCGTCCATGCGCCACTCGGTCTCCCTGGACGCGCTGGCCCCCGCCGCGTCCTCGTGGTAGCGGAAGGAGTGGCAGTACCACGCGCCGCCGCCGCGGGAGTTGGCCTCGCCGACGAGGCGGTACGCGCCGCGCCCCGCCCTCCGCTTGCCGCCGAGGCCCCGCCCGCGGCAGACGAAGAAGAGCCACTCGACCCGGTCGCCTTCGCCGCCGCCGCCGTTGGCGCTGGCGGGCGGGTGGACCTTGGCGAGGAACGCCGGGTGCGGGCCGTAGACGTCGGCGTCGTGGATCTGCAGCGGCAGCTCGCCGCACCGCAGGGAACGGCGCGTCGGCAGGTACCGCCCGACGAGATCGTCCGGGGCGGGGTCGAACGGCGGCTGGCCCTGGCCGCCCGCCGAAGGCCTGGTGGTGCCGCTTCGCGGCGGTGGCCTCGGCGGCCTGCCCCCGCCGCCGCCGCCGCCGCCGCCGAGGACCCAGCCGTCGTCGGTCTCCTCCTCGCGGAGGCTGGCGGACGCGGTCGGATCAGTGGCTCCCGGCGCCGGTTTCTTTGGTGGCATTGGGGGCTTAACGGTGGTATCCTTCTACGCCTTCCAACGGTCCAAAGCGATGTGATCGATCGCCTCGGTTTTATTGAGCGCGCAAGTACGTACGAGGCTGGTTTCCGAGGCAATGCTAGTTATTCGATTGGACTTCAGCCTTCAGGGCAGCGGAGCCATGATTCGGAGTGGGCAAGCCAACAGAGACCGAGTAGACAGGCAATTATCATGCAGACCTTTCGTTGTCACTTTGAATTGGGCCAAATTCTATCTAGTATTGGGCTTTATTAAAGGCGGAAAAGTGCGGGTTTCCTCAGTCAAGGAAATGAGGCCTTTGGGCTCTCTGAGGTGGGCTTCCGCAGGAACAAAGTATATAAACCGAGCCCTAATGCTTGCTTTGCTGCTGCCATCTCCTCTGAAATCAGAGTCTCAGATGCATTATATTCGTACTGCTGAAACAGAATGCAGATGTACTAGTTTCAAAAAATAAAAATGCAGATGTACTAGTTTAAAAAAAAAATGCAGATGTACTGACTGATTAGTGATGACTGGACTGAAAGTTGTTCATATAAGTAAGGGCTTCTTCGACACGGTTTATGTCGGCTTCGGCTTCATCTATTTTACACAAATCGAGGCACTGCAGCGTGAAGCCGTTTTGTAAGTCGGTGTTCAAATGAACTAGAAGCCAAGAAAAACCAGTTTTTCTGGTTTCACCGGTGAAGCCGTTTTGACGTGCCGTGCCACGGCTACACGACGACGATCAGCTGTCTCTCCCCTCAGGTAGAAAGGCATGCTGCTGCAGGCGGCAGGTTAGCGAATCGATCGATCTCGATCTCTCTACCACAGCGTGCACACCTCCCCGGCGCCGTCGAGGTTCCACAGGCTGCCCCACGTGGCGCCGTCCTCCTCGCTGGACCCGTACTCGTCGCTGGCCGTGGAGCCGCAGCAGCTGCCGGCGGTGCCGCCGCCCTGCCCGCCGCCGGCGCCGTGGAGGACGAGGAGGTCGTCGCAGGACATGGGGCACATGATGAAGCAGTCCATGGCGTCGACGTGCATGATCAGGTCCCCGGCCGCATCGGTGGCTACCGCCGTCGTCGGCGCCGCGCACGCGTCACCGGCGGTTGCGCTGCCACGGTCGTCGTCGTCGGCCGTGGCGCCGGTGCAGCACGTGCCGCGGCGCTGGTCCCCGTCCTCGTCAAGCTGACCAATTAGAGACTGCTCCTGCTGCTGCTGCTGCATCATTTCTTGGCGCTGCTTGAGAAACCGGGCTCTCGCGCGCTCGATGCTCTTGGACGGCTTGCCCTTCTTGAAGTGCGTCCTCCAGTAGTTCTTGATCTCGTTGTCTGTCCTGCCAGGGAGGCTGCGAGCGATCGTCGACCACCTGCTTACAGTATAATACAGATGCCAAAGAGTTTTAGTGCATCAGGTACAGCTTTGTTTATTTCATGTTCAGTACAGAATAACACAATAAAAAGTTCACATGATGGAGCATCAGGTACTGTACCTGTTTCCCCACAAAGCATGGAGCTGGACTATGATGCTCTCCTCTTGGGGTGTGATCTTACCCCGTTTCAGATCTGGTCTCAGGTAGTTGACCCACCGCAGCCTGCAGCTCTTGCCACTTCTCTTGAGCCCTGAGTTAAGCATAAAAGGCCAAAATGAGAATGGAGGGATCTTATTAGATCAATCTATATATCACCCATGTGCGCCGACAAGTGATGGTAAATCACTAACTTTATTAAGTGGTAAGCAAGGGATGGCTGTCATGATATAACCAACTAACTAAAAGGAACAAAAAGGTTTTGATAAAAAGACTGGCAACTCTAGCTCTAGTTTTTCTTGAAAATTGACTGATAGGTACACCTGTACTCATCAGCATATGGAGATATATAGGCATCCAATGATAGTATTAACGGGGAGCTTGGGCTGTGAACCGGTTAAACTAAGTTGCACATCACTGCTGGAGATATACTCACTCTCACATCATGATTCACTCTGGACCTGTTTGTGCGAGTGCATGGCCTTCCGCGGCTTCTGCTCAGCTAGTCAACTCCATAGTACAAGCACGCATCAATAGAAGGGAACTGTGGGAGAAGTTTGCTTTTGAGAAGTTCATTTCAAAAGCCGTCTGTTTGTGATTTGTAAAAGTGATGGTTTTTGAAACGGTCTCAGTCTTATCATCAAAAGTAGGCTTCTCCATTTGCCTCAGGTTGCATGCTTGCATTAGAATTTGAGGAACGAATGTGATCTAGTACACCCACGAGACGATACTAGCTAATCCTGAAGATGGATATCCTGTTTTACTCTCTGTATCCACCAGTGTACAATCATGTCTATGGCACTCGGGCGCGGCAACGGTGGCAGCAGCAAGTTGGCAAGCAAAGGAAGGGAGTCGATCGTGCATGGTAGAATCCTGGGATACATGAAGATCCTCTACAAGTTGCTCCACCTGAAGATATCCTGGAAAATCACAAGCCTAAAGTAGGTGCATACCGTACACCACAGTCAGTTTTTTTTTTACGGCCGTGCAACTTGCAGAGACTGAATAATTTGCCAGTTGTGCAGCAAACCTGCTGTTTGGTGAAAAGAGCTCGGTCGTACTTGGCGAGGTATTATTAAGAGCAGGCAGTATTGGACAGATACAGTACCTGCAAGCTTGGAGACGGAGTTCCACCTCCCTTCGCCGTGCTGCGTGACATGGTCGACGAGCAGCTTGTCCTCCTGGCTGGTCCAGGGGCCCTTCCTCCACCCGTCCACCTCCTCCTGCCGTCCCCAGCCGAGCGGGCCCTCCATTGCCTTGCCTCCAACGGCCGGCTGCTGGTTTCCTGGAGATTTTTGTGCTGCTGCCCTTTAATTTGGCAGCTAGTAGCTAGCTCGTATCTACAGCACAGGAGAGCAAGCAGCTAGCCTTTCTTTGCCGTCATATGATGCTGCCTGTCCCGCAATGAGTGAGGCGCTGCCGCGTATATATCGGCACCGGCGCGGCCCGGCGGGCTCTCGAGCTATTCCCTCTGTCGCTCGCCTCGCCCATCGGCCATCGCCAAAGGCCGCGTCGCTGTCGGTGGAATTCCATACTCCACTAGCTACCTCTACTGTCGAGTTGGATTTCCCGAAATGCCCCTGCCTTCACGCACGGTAATGTAAATCTTCGATCGCTGTGGTGCGCCAAAGTTACCGCGTGTTTGTCGCCGCGAAAGCGCCATGGAGCCGGCCGGACGCCGAAACAAGTTTTTGCCCGGTGGTGCAACAACGTAACATGAGCTTCAATTTTGCCCGTAAATCTCTCACATACATGCTGCAACAATATTATAACGACTTTATTTTTAAGAACAACGCGACGATCGAGTATTTTTCTTCTAGTTTTGTAAGTAGTGAAGAATATTAAGAAAAATGTTTATCCCATTTAGACATGAAATAAAAAAACTGCTAACTTTGCTACTCCTACATATTAATTAACATCTAGCTCCTTAATTAACAATTTGAGCTACTATACCTTCTTGCAGGAGTGTTGCAGATCTGAAACAGAACAACATTTCACCATGTTCGCTCGATCGTATCAGCCATGCTTATCAGCCATGATATAGTGTTTTTCTCTCACGATAAAACAGTATCAGCTGGCTTATAAGCCACAGAAACGATAAGCGAACATGGTGATTATTAGTGCCGCAGGAGTGGTGTATGTCAACACCTCGCATTGCTCGGTAAACAACTCCAGCAAGCGACGAGTGTTTACCCGGCCGGAATGGCTAGCAGGTATAATTATTAATCCTTGGTGTCTCCAATACACTGCATGGAGGACATACTTTTTGTGGATCGGATTCTAGAAAGCCGACGCGTGGACACACACATTTGCAACAGGGGTGGTCGCTAGCTCACCTGGTGGCGTAACAACGCTTAAAGATCGATGGCAATTGTACTTGCAGCGATATATCGCGATCACTTTCCGACGCACAAACGAACTAAACTAATCCAGCCCCTACTTAAGCGATGAACACGACATCACGCATGCCCCGTACCTAGCCGCTGATGATCTCTCGGCCGGTTCATCAGCATGTTGTGAGCTGGCACGCGGTAACAAATTAATGGTTAATTATATAGCTAGCTAGATGCATGTATGTGTGATCATGGCCCCTTACTTTGGAACAAAGAAAAAGGAAATGTTACTCTGATCAGATCACCTGATCGATCTCTGTCACCATCAGGTAATAAAGGACAGTGTACACACGAGCCTAGAGTAGCTTTGTCCAGATACGTGCGAGATAGTATACCTTTCCCCTTCGTTTGTAGGAGTACTCCGTATACTTAGGGCACGTACAACGCTTGTGTTTGCAGCCGTCTGTACGCATCCACCGAGGCAAAAACATCAGAGCTAACGCGGAGAGAGAGTGCTGCCGCCGCCTCACGAGACGACGGCCGTGGCTCGTGCTCCCAGAGCAGCCTATATGGCTCCTTCTACCGTTGTACGTCTCGCTGCGAGCAGACGCTGGCGTGGTCCGATCGCGTGCGGCAAGCGAGCAATAGCGGCAAAATCCCATCGCTGCTACGGCGTGCGCTCCTCTGCATCCGTTGCTGGAGGATGACATGCAAAGGTGCTGAGTATTTTCGCATGGAACATGAAACTTCCGTCAGATAGTCTGAAAATTGAGTGGCTCTTTCATCCATTGCTGTTCTATCAGATAGTAGTAATTTCAGCAGCTTTGGATATTAGTAATCATTGAAGATCCTTTTGCTTTCTTGCGGAATGTGAACGGCAGTGAAGCTTCCTTGTGTAGTCGTATTATGTTTTATTAATTATGAAAATTTTGTTTTATTATATTATATATAAATATGTTCATGTTTGATCTTTATTTATTAAAAGGCAAGACAACAGTATACATGAGTATATTTACGGTTGATCATGGCTACATACAAGCATCAGAGAATTAACAGAAATTCAAACAGACAACCTATTGTACGCGCTATCTATTTAGCGGGTCCATATTTTCCATACCGGTTGATAGTTCTTTTCTTCCGTTGTAATAATAAGATGACGATTGTACGATACTCGGATTATCACCCAAAGGGCAAGTTTGGAAGACCGCACCTAACAAGAGGAATCATGTAAACAAACGGCATGTTCGTTGGTTGGTTTCTGGGCTGATAAACCTGGCTGGTGCTGATTTGTTGTGAGAGAAAAACACTATTAACTGACTAATAAGCCATGCCTAAGACTAAAAAGTGAACTGACTGAAAGTCCTTTTGGACCCTTACCCCTTCGAGAGACCTCCTCGTCGTGACATCCAACAAAGAATGAATGATGCGCTTATATATGCTAATTTAGTAGATCATCACTAGATCTCCAACTAGGGATTAAGTATTGGTATTTGGTACGGTACCTGATGGTCGCCCCTCCACGTACCCCTCACATTGCGTAGAGCCGTAGGGCTCCCCCTGCCTCCTTGGCGCGCTCTCTCCTCCGGTCCCCTCACGATCTCGCCTCGTCACCTAATCATCTCTTTCGAAGCCACACCAAACTATAGGGACAAATGGCTTGCGGCGCTTGCCTACGAATCCATAAATATATTTAGTTTTTACAAATTATTAGGGCATTCTATTAAGGTTTTTTTTTGCGAGCAAGCATTCTATTAAGTTAAAGTTAAATTATAAATCTATTCGCAAGTTTGCGGATACCTTAAGACCCAACACCAACAAATACTCTGTCCGCATAAAAAAGTACAAGCATAGTATCAGGTTAAGTCATCTCAAATTTAACTAAATTTGTATAATATTTGAATATTTAAATATTTAATAAGTGTCATTAAATTGATCGTTGAATATAATCATAATTCAATATTTATATAATAATAAATATGTGTATATATACCATCTAAACCTAATATTAACAGTGGTAAATTTCTTTTTTCCTCATCTCACTCCCTCCCTATCTGTGTGTCCCTCACTCCACTTGCATCTCTCGGTCTATCACTCCTCCTCACTCTCACCCTTCTTGCTTAGAGTTTGGTACTACAAAACCATTCATGTTATGGTCAAGCTGTCCGAGCCCGTTCGCGTCGCGGTGCACATGCAAATTTGTGGCTCGTCTTTTTTACTTAAGAGGTGCACACAAAGCAATAGCGATTTATTTAAGTTGAGTCTTTTATTGCACTAACATTTATTATAGGTCTTGAATTTTTTTTTTATTGAAGGTTGGGCTAAGCCTAATTAAATCCAACAAAATAGCTAGCTCATTATCATTGGCACAAGCACTGCACAAACAAATTGTACGCCCCGTTGCAACATGAGTATGTTTGCTAGTACTAGATTAAAAGCAGTAAATTTCTTTGTCTGTCCCTTACTCTCATGTATATCTTAGTCTGTCACTAGCTCCCCTGTCCATTTGTCCCTCGATCAGTCCCACAACTCTTCTTTTGTCTCTCAATTAGCCGTTCCTCACTTTCACTCTTCTCGTTTTCACGAGTGGCAAACATAGATCCATGTCAGGAGTCTAAGGCCTGAGTGGCAAATGTAGACCCACGATAGGAGTCCAAGGGACAATTTGTGGGTGTGTGGCTTGACTGTCTGTGCCTGAGTTGGTGACGCGAGAAAAGCGTGGGTGTGTGACTTGCATTCTACCTTTCTTAACTTTACAATTGGTGCATACAAATACATAGCCATCTTTTTAAGCTTACTAATACTATTTTTATAAATTAAAAACTTAAATAATTTATTAGAGATGGAACTAGAAGTCTAGAATTGTTTTTTTTTTCAGACGGTGGTAACAGAGACCGAATGCATCACCGCGCGCATCAGCACCACATGGCGCTAGCTAGCTAAGCTAGCTCCATCTATTCCGGTTAAACAAGTCGTAGACGTCCTTGTTGCTTCCCGCGCGTGCCACACATCAGGCTAGCAGCATCCATGGTGCGCTGCGCTGTTGCGCCGATGGGTGACCACCCGGCCAACCGCGCCGCGCCACCCGCCCGCGCCATCGCCGCGGGGGGCAGGGGCAGCGCTAGCTAGCGCAGCACAGCGACGTCGCCCGTAAAATAAAATTGGCTGCTATTTCGGGCAACTGGGCAAGCGAGCACGTACGTACGGCGCGGGCAGGGGCCGGGCGCACGGGGGTTATTTTATGCGCGCATCGCCGTCTCCGCGCGTGGGTGCGGTGACTTTGGCGCCTCACGCCGGCCGGCGACAGGTGTCGCCTGCTCCGCTAGGACCACCGCCTTGTTTAATCGCGTCTCGCCAACTCCGGTGAGCATAAAGCACGGCCTCGGACCACAGAGACAAGGCCAGATCGATCGCCCCCGGCATATATATAATCATCATCTAGAGGTTAGCTCGCTAGCTAGCTTTGTAGTACATGTTACGGCCGGGTCTTCATTATTCGATCGCTCTAGCTTTCTCTGTCTGGTTGCATGTCGTTTGCTTTCGGCCATTGCACGTAGGCCGCATCGCATTCGAGCTGGTTTTGATTAGTGGTTTCCATTGCGTGATGTGGCTCAGGCAAAGGGTTATGTTAATACTTGTGCAGTGAAATGAAGCATCCTCCATTTATATAAAACTACTAGTACCATATATATCTATGTACTGATGGTGTGACGAGGCATTGGGGCTACAATGCATGTCTCGCTTTCCTCATTTTCTACTTTGAGATCCAGAAGGCTCCCGAAAAGCCTGTTGTTCATATATTAAAAACCCCCAAAAGCTGGGCGTAGCTACGCATATACATTTATTTGGATTGGAGTGGTATGTTTATACTCCAAGCAAGCTCATCATCTGGGTCATATCACAGAACTTGGGAGCTAAAAGTA